CGCCGGCTGTGGCGAGCCGCCGTGGCGGCGGCGCCCCCGCCCGTGCTCGGCAACCCCGCCTTTGCCGCGCAGGCAGTTGCGCTTTGAGGCAGCTCACCTAGACGCAGCGGGCCCTGATGTTTGATCAACACCCCACGCGGCGATTGGTTTCGGCGCCCACAATGTGGGGGTCCGAGCCCCCCTTGCGGGCCCACCACGGCGCGCACGACCCCTGCGCGGGCGTGCCTCCGCGTGCCGGGCCGCGCGCCCGCGCCCACGGTCGCGGCCGCCTGGCCGTGTCGGAGAGTCGGTCTCCGCCGGCCGCCGGCCGCCGCCGCTTATCCTCTCGCCTGTGGAGAGGCGCACGTGCGTCGACCTGTTTGCAAACGCCCATTGTTCAGGGCCGCGTGCCGGGGTGTCTGGTGCCAGCGGTGGGGCGCACGCCAGCCGGCCCTGTTCACCGGGCTCCCTGCTCGCCCCACACACGAGGCGTGCCCGCCGAGCCCTCAACAGGCTGTAAGGCGACGGGGGGGAGCTTGCTTGCTTTGCCACAGCGGCGCCGCCGCTGCCGTTCGGCGGCCGCCTTTTGCGCCGGCACGGGGCTGCGCCCTGCTGTGGAACACTCAGCGGCCTCGTGGCAGCAGTTGCAGTGGCGCACGCCCGTTGTGCGTGCCGCCTCGCCTGTGGGAGAGGCCGCATAAGAGGCTGCATTTGAAATTCGTGTTTGAACTGTCTGTCGGCCCGCCAAGAAGGGCAGCAGACACGCCTGCCGGCGTCAGCGGTGGGTCCCGCTGCGGCGCGGGTTTGCAGTCTGCCGGGTTCCGATGCGCCGGTGGCGCACGCGCTGAGGGGAGCGGCCGCGCCGCGCGCGCCGCGCGGCGGGCGCCGATGCGCCCCGCGGGGCGGGCGCGACGCGGCCGCCTGCTTTCTGATATGCCTTTGCCGCCGCCGCGCTATTCGCGGCGCGGCCTCGGAGGGCCCCTGCTGCTGTTTGGATGCCATGTCACGCACTTGGTTACGTCATGCTTTGCACGCTTTGCCCGCTTTGCCCGCTTTGCCAGCGGCAAGGGACACTCTGTGGGAAGGGAGGACACCAGCTTGCGCCATGTGGGCGATGCCCTTGCTCTTGCTCCCGGCGCCTCGCCCCCGCCGCTGAGGGGGAGTGCCCCAGATGAGCGGCGGCGGTGGCGCCGGCGCCGGCGGCCTCGTAGCGTTTGCTTTGTGGGAGTGGCGCGGGGTGCGCGCGACCGCGGGGTGCGCGCGACCGCGTGCACCCCGCGCGCTGTTTCTTGCGCATGCGGTTTGGGAAGCCGGGCACGCCCTGTGGTGTCTCCGGCGTTTGTGCGTGAGGCTGTTTGAAAGAATCCAACCACAAGAACACAGTTAAAATATCAAGTCCTGGCTTTCGACACTACCCGTCCCTTGGGCCGGGCCGCGCCGGCGCGCTTGCGTCGCACGCGCGCGGGCGCCCTCCGGCGCAGCCATGGCGCCGCGGTCCGCGCAGGCGGCGTTTCGGGGTCCGATCGAGCTTCTTGGGGCTTCACAACCCCCCGGGGCCCACCATCGGCGCGTCGCGGGGCGTGATGGTGTTGCCTGACAAGCTTGGCTGGGCTGGATGGGCACTGGGTCGCCGTTGCGCGGGGTGGTCGCGCCGGGCGGCGGCGCTGCAGGGGTGTGGGGGAAGTTGCGGGGTCGCCTTTGTACGTAGTAGCTGTAATCTTTTGGTTCCACGACAGGGAGTCTTTGCGGCCAACCCAGGCAGCCAGCGGCGGGTTTAACCGCTGCAGCGTTGAGGGCAGCGCTCAAAGCGGCCGCAGCGGCAGCAGCAGGTGCCGCAGCAGCAGCAACACCAGCAGAGGCAGCAGCAGCCCTTCAGCAGGCAGCGCCTTGCCCCGTGCCTGCGTCTGGGCAGGCGGCGACGGCCCGCGAGGGCCCGCCCGCCCCAACCCTGTCTGCGTGGCTGACGGCCATGCCATGGCGGCTGCTTGAGGAGCGGCGCTGGGCTTGGCTGGGCGGGGCGGCTGCTCCTGATCCCTGGGCACGGCCGCTCGCCTCCGCACACCTGAGCACCACCCAAGCTAGCGCGCTGCGACGCGCGCGGCGGCCCCCCGCGTTACAAGCTGCCAGCGCGCTGCTGTGCGAGTTTGCGCCCGGCGGGCATCAGCAAAGCCCAAAAATGGAGACGGCGGAAACCGACGGAACAGCAGGCCCCAGTGGATGCCATGCAAAAGGGGGCCAGGGGCCGGCGCGTGGCCGGCGCGGGGCCGGCCACAGGGCGGGTCAATGCGCCGCTTGAGGCTTGAGCGCGGGTGCGGCCGAAAGGCGCGGCGGCAGGCGGGCGGTCGGCGCCTCTGCCGGGGCGCACGCCGCGGTGGCGGGCGCGTGGGAGGGTCAAGAGGGGTCGAAGCTGAGAATGCTGGGAGCGCAGTGGCGCAATGCAGAGGGACAGCATCGGAGTTTGGCTCGGGAGGCAGGACACGCGCTTCCAGGCGTAGTGCCCACGTGATTTGAAACGGGGGGCGCTCGGCGGAGGAGGGATCAGGAGGTGCTACCAAGTTAAGGGAATAGAGGAAAGAGAGGCGCGCAGCAGCGGGAGAAGGCGCGGCGTCAACCGTCCCCTGTGTCCATCCGTTCGCCGCCGCCGCCGCCGCCGCTGCCGCGCTCCTCCTTTTCCGGCCCGTCTCCTTGGTCCGACGCCCGCGCGTCGGCCCCCTCCTCAGCACCCCCTCCGCCCCGGTCGCGCCGCCGCTGCTGCTCCGCGGCGGCCGCCGCCGCGGCGCGCTGCAGCGCGC